TGGGAACCTTCTCTGAGGAGGAGCGCACCACTGCATCGGGATCACCAATGCCACGGTGCTCAATGCCAGCCTTCCTGATCTTTAGATCTGGAATTTTGGCATCTGGCTTAAATTTAAAAATTGTTCTACCACGCCATTCATAGCCAAGTTGTAGGTCCTTCCATTTTGCCTTGCGCCAATCATCTGTCTTCTTGATTTCTTCTCCTCCTGCTTTCTTCTTGATGATTGTCAGTCGCAAGTCTTCCAGCAAGTCAGTGTCTACAGGACAGGACTTAGTTGCTGGGAAAAGAATTTTCCTGTAATCCTTGTGGTGACGTATCAGTTCTCTCTTGTGAACATCTACTTCCCAGAAATCAACCACAGGATATGCATGCTCAGCTTCACCTTCATCACTATTGTGTTCAACAGAAATATGGCCATATTCATAGTGAGTGAGGTGAGAGTAAAAACTCTTCTCACGCTGAGTCTGCCAACGCACGTCAGACAGATACCATGCAATATCTTGGAAGTCCAACACAAGATGAGTACTGGCTGCAACCTTCAACTCCAAAAATTTGATACCAAGAGGCACCGATGTCAGATAAGCATGTTGAGGTGTCAGCCTGAGTTCAAAGCCTAAGTTCCTCATCTGTGGCAAGCTCATAAGCAAAGGGACTTCTCCTTCTTCCACTATGTCGAACTCTGTATGGTGGATCGTCCATGCACGATCATACATGTAAATCACCAGTTTCTGCGAGCAAGTAGCCTTCTGGGAATTGGCAAAATAAAACTTGCTCTTGGTAGACTCAAAAGAGTACCATAATCCACAATCTGGGTGATTGTCGACATAGTTGCAAAAATGGTCGACTGCTCGCCTTGATCCCATAGCTCTAGTGCATCCAATGTCCAGGATTGCAATAGTTGGCGGGAAGCGATTCTCAGTCAAAAATGAAATAGCCTGCATCTCCTTCACTTCTTCCTCAGCGCTCATAAGCGCAAAGCCATCAGGAGCCTTTGTGAGCATCTCCTTTGACAAAGAGTACCTCACAGGGGCACTCATGCCATTGAAGATCGTCTCACCATTGTTGACCGCGCAGTCAGCTTCATCTTGACATGAGGTCATCATGCCTGACAGCAAGTCCACCTCACTGTCATGGACTTCAGCTGCTGCTGTCACACAATGTGCAAAGAAACCTTGTTGACCTCCTGATGCTTGTGAAGTTCTTGAAGGTGCAGGTAAAGAACGTGACTGTTGTTGATTTGCATAGTTTGCATCTTGTTTGCCATCTCCTTTATCTTTTCCTTGCCTTTTTCTCTTGCCTTTTCCTTTTCCTTTGTGGGAAAACCATGCTTCTTCAAGCTGTTGCCAAAAGTCATTGGCGTCATCATATTCTCCTTGAAGATAGTCATTCATATCTTCGGCAAGAATGGCATCATATGCTACTTGGTTTGACTCCCAAGTGTCCTCATAAGGATTCTCTTCAAAGTACTCATCTGGATAAGTTGTCTGTTGCTCATCAGCAAAATGGCCTTTACCTCGTCTCTTTCCTTTTCCTTTTCCACGAGGTCTGAAAAATCTGCGGCCTGATCTTCCTTTACCTTTTCCTTTTCTTCTACCTTTTCCCTTGCCTTTTCTGGCTCTTCTTCCTTGGAATCTCCTTTGGAACCATGAGAAGTTTTGATCATCATATACCCAAAAGACATCGTCCAGGGCATCTAAAAATCCTTCTGTTCCATCTTCTTCATCTTCGGCCCAATAGCCAAATGTACCATCGAGTTCTCCTTCGTCTAGTACAAGAAATGATCTTCTACCTCCAGCACCTGTCGGCTGCATCAAAGGATTGTCTACTGAAGTCTTTGTCGTGCAGAACATCTCGATGAACACTGTTCTCAACTCTGTTGTGGTGTATTGCTGCAGGACCCTGCCACGATGAGTCATCAAAGAAGTCAAAGTGTTTCGCTGGTCCTGAGACAAATCTGCAAGTGACAGCATGAGTAAAGCAATCAGATTTTCTCCTAGAGGAAATTCGTTCTGATGAAAAGTCCTCATATTGCCATTGATGGTCTGCATGATTTCCTGAATCCTTTCTGCCGTTGGTGCTACTCCAGTCAACGCTGCATCTGCCTGCATCTGAGCTAGGACTTGTGGATGTGCTTGAGTGACTGGTTCTAACATGTCCATCCAACTGCTCATAAGCCTTTGGAGTAAAATCTGGAATTTGTCATCCATTTCATCATGTCAGCTGATCCTCGATTGAATCGCACGAATTGCATAAACCTGTATAGGAATACATTGGTTGATCCTTTCACGAAATATGGTCGTAGTACTCGTTTGAAGTAATCTACTCCTGCTCCTGGTGGCTCATTAGCCTTCAATGAATCTCTGTCTAATACACGTTTGTATACTGCTGCTTCTCCTTCTAATCTGTTTCTCAAGGCTGGTCCTCTTTTCTCATCTTCCAGCTCGGTGATATCACACCAATCGTCTATGGCATCCTCATAGGAAAACCATGAAGTCTTTCCATCATAAGATGGGGGCACCTTTGTAGTGACCTGTGTTGTCATTGCTATTGCTGCTGGTTCTCTTCTCACATGCCTATTCACGTAGGCTGCTGGCTCATAAGCCACATCCGCATCAGGCTCTTCCCAGTCATCAATCCAATCCATGGCCGTTTGCCCACAAGCAATTCTATGCCTAGGAAAGGAGCTCACCTGGGTCTTCCAGGATCACTGCTCCGCTACCACTGAAAGAGTGACTAGGGCGTACACGGTAGAGGTGCAGACCGCTAGTGTCTTTTATGCGCAGAGTCTTATCCTCTTGCTCTTTGAGCCTTGAAGCAGTCAAGCATGGACACACTATATCAGCTGTTGGAGTGGAACCCTGTACAGGTAGGCTCTACTTTTCAGGGGGGGGGGGCCCCCCCCCTACATATGAAGTTTTCACGTGATGCGGCGATCCCGAGGATTCCAGCCCCTCACTTGCTAAAGCAAGGACAACTCCAGCTAGCTGGTGCTAGCTTTCGTGAAAAAACAAGTGTTCTCCAGAATGCCCGTGGTTTTTGATTGCAAACCAAGGGTGTCCACTTTTGAGATTGTGCTATACTGTAAAGATCATATAGACATGTACTCCTTTGCAGCTAACACCCGCCCCCGCAAAAAAGTGAGCTGAAAGGAAAATCCGTTCTAAAATCATTATCCTAGCTTCAAACCACAGCAATTCCAAGCGGTGGCTTTCATGTAGACGGAGACGACATCTGCTCAGGTATATGTTGTGTGTATGTCTCTAGTGTATTGAGTAGTGGCCCTGGTAAGCAAATGGCTCAAGTGGTCAAAATTGCAAAGTGGTCTAGCGCGCATCTAGCGCGGATCTAGCGCGCTCCCCTGCCAGCGCGTCAGGCCACCAAACGGCTGTCATCAAGAGCACGCGTTGCGGTCTGCCAGCTTTCCTAGCTTTGAAATCGTTATACAATAGCTCTTCCACGCACAAATAATCCGAAACACAATGGGAGCATGCCCGCAGTGGATGGGTGTCAGTGGCCCCTGCTTACATAAACCAATCACAGCCAAAACGGCCAAGTTGTCCGATCATACCTCAACAAGTTTAATTGCCGATTGTTAATCTTACCTAATTATTTGAACCTAGCGCCAAACCTAGCGCAACCCTGCGGTTTGCTAGCGCGACAAGGTAGCATCTCCAAGTTAAGCAACAGAATACCAAGCGGTGAACCTCTGGGAACCTTCCTTACTTAATACATATTGCCGGGTTTGTTTTTTCAACTGAAGTGTTCGCCAGAATGCCGGTGGTTTTTGTTTGCAAACCGAGGGTGTGCACTTTTGAGATTTCAGCTATAAAAGCAAACCATCAGTATAACCGTATACTGTATACCGATAAAAACTGGAATGCTTCACAGGTTCGCCCGAGATTGGAATCCAAAGTCTTGCCAACAAACACGGGTATTTCAAGACAAAGCCCGGTTGGCAAGGGTCCGGCATGGGACTGGTATGGGGTCAACCACAGGTCAAGGCACATCTCCAAACCCTCTCAGGTCGAGTGCGCCAGGAAATGGACACGTTTGGTGGCAGGTGGGGACTGGGGATGACAAGAACAATCCAGACAAACAACAGCAAAAAAACGTGGTGGTTTATGTCAGGGCTATTTAGAGAGCATGTTTGACAGGTCAATGCCAATGCTGGTGTCTGTATTCTTTTTGCGTTCCTTGCACGAGGTTGGATAAACTACCGTCCCTTTCTTGAGCTCCTATCGTGTTGACTGCTCTCAAAGTATATCCGCAAATCAGCTCAAGTCATCATGGTGCCCGCGCTCATGTGATCGAACATCGTGCAAGCCAGCACATAATGAAAAACGTCTGATACGGGCTCTATATAAGCAGGCTTTTTCACCTCTAATCACGCGTGGGACCTCGAGATGGAGAGATGGGGCGAGGGCGCCCTCTGAAGACTTCTTCATTCTGAAGCAACCAGCGGGGGCGATAGCCGAAACAACAAATGTTGTCCAATCCAATCTACTTCTTCTGTTCCATAGATCTGCTGAACCCCCACCAAGGCTCTATATAGGTCTACTAGCTGAATCTCTCCTATTCACTGTCATATCTATTCACGTTGTGGTGATGTGGGGGTATCCATCATATCCATCTACATTATGCACTGATGGACATATCTGAATTGACGCCTGCTACGCACAAAAAAAAACTCAAAAAAGTGTGTGTATGTTGGTTGGCTGGTTCCCAGCTACATCCTGCATGACCATCCACGACTGCGCATGGTCCGATGTCAAGACTCAGCAATTCCCAGACTAAGGAGACTGCTAAAGTGCTAAAGTAAACCCCAAATGGTATGTTGTCACCAAACCATCCACGAATGAAACAAGCATGTAGACTACACCCACAAGCATCCCTACCCGCCTACCCCGTTTGCCACTGGGGGTTTAACCATCCCTCACCCCGCCCGCGCGCGCCGCCCCTTCGCACCGCGTCCTTCATCCGCCAAACCGGGGGCCCGACTCGGTGGGGGCGAAGCAAAAGATCACCTGCCGGTGGGCCCTCCCATTCCCAAACACTCCACGGGACTGCCATAGGACTGCCGATCAAGCCAGGTGTGGTGCCAGGGAGGGCTGGGGCGGCAGTCCTATGGCAGTCCCATTAGTCGTGTCTGGGATTGGAAACACCGGCTGAAGTGGAGGTGTTTCTGGGCTCGGAAAGCTGTCAGATGCGACGCGGAGACGTGGATGCAAAGTAAGAGATTCTCTCGTTGGACTCTAGGTATTTAAGCTGGTAAGATAGAATTCTTAGCTGCTTGAGGTCGTAGCTTATAGGTTATAACATGTTATATATGACGATCTATGCTTGAAACTGTGCGTCTTTTCAAACGTTGGACACGAAACAATCCTGCAAACTGGGTCGAAGGGTTACAGTCTGACAGCGTCGGTTTTTATAGCATGACAATGGTTGGCCTGTTCAATCAATTTAGTTCAAAACTCAATGATCAAAAATATAGAATCAGTCGATCAATCAATCAATCAATCAACCAATCAATCAATCAATCAACAATCAACGAACCAACCAACCAACCCAACCCAACCCAACCCAACCCAACCAACCAATCAATCAATCCGCACACTTGATGACGTCCAATGTCCGAGTCTCAGTGGTTCTTTGGCTTTTGGCGCCTCACCAGCTGCATCCGTCGAAACCATCCTCGCCTCATCTTCGGAGATCTCTGAGCAATGCCACGTTCGCCCACGGCCACGGCGCGTCTCATCCACCCTGGCGGTGAACAGTTCGAGGTTTCCTGGCTGATGCCGATGCTTAGCTAGCAGGGTAGGTCTTCTTTCTTGACAATGCACTTTCGCAGTTCGTGCCAGAACAGTGGTGAATGGAGAATCTTGAGCCGTCAAACCCCAAAATCCTTCAATTGGCATCTATTCTCTTTTTAGGCCTGTAGTTCATGGAAACGGGGGATCGAAGGAAATCAAATGGGTAGCCCAAAGGGAACAAAACACAAGAAGAGTACGAATGTTGCATTAGTTTTGGATTCAGTCATGGTTCAACACATGTATCAAAAGGATTCAAAAGGACCAGAACAATAACAGCTGTCGAACCTTTCGAACCTTCTTCGATTCTTCCGACTGTGTTGCAGCAAAGCTTAGGCTGATTCGGTCCACCGAGGCCCTGCAGTGCGAAGCACGGCCGTGCGAAGCACCGCCGTGTAGGCGGTGCTTAGCGCCAATGTCTCCCAGGCAAAAGAGATGATGAGTGAAAACGCAGAAGTTAAGTTGATATATACATCATGCCGCGGTGATTTTGACACATGATGACACGGTCAGTGGAATGAGTGGAGGTAGGTCATCACGAAACTGACTCTCCGACCACTTGTTTGTTCCAACTGCTCAGCTGGAGCATACCTGCTAGCATACCTGGATGCGCAGCTGGATGCGCTTTCACGTCTTTTCAACCTTTTCATGGTGCACCAGCACCAGCGGTCTTTGTGTGGCGCCAAACACAAACGACCATTTCTTCAGCCTCTCTTTCTCGGGCGGGCATGACGAGCAGGACGACCCGTCCCACAGAGATGATTGTGATTTTTCAACTGGAATCATAGAGTCTTACTGCGGCCAACTGTTTTCTCGTGCACCTCTATATATATATAATATATATATATAACTCGTCAATGACCTCATTTTGCTGGAGTTGGTCATGCAAAAACACTACTCAGGGAGGTTTAAAAAACAGGTTTGACATGGCTTTACTGGGTCTTTGGACTTGTAGGGATCTGCTTGTCCAAAGGGTTTGGGGGCAGAAAACCGTGTCCAATGTGCCCCAGTCCATCTGCTGGAGATGTGTTTCTTTTTCCTTGTTTGGGATCACCAGCTGGGACATCCAATCCGAGAGGGGCGCCAAGCTACGGCGCCGGAGGTATGGAGTTTCATGCGGGCGAGTATGTTGGTCATTGGACAGTTGAAAGTTCAATAGCAAACCAGGCAAAAGTCGAAGGACTGTCGCAATAGTTGTTTGTTTTGTTTTTTCCCGACTTTGTTCCTTTGTTCACTCCGTTTACACAGAAACGCCGAAACAGACCGGTGAAACCGAGGTCCGCGCCTCACTTCACTCCGCACGGGCCGGCAGAAGATCCGCGTCCCAGTGCGGCGCAACGAGGAGCCAGGCCTCGAGTGGAGGGGTGCCAAGGAGCTGCTGAGGATAGGGAAGCGTCTTCCTATACCCCAAACGTTGAACATGTATGATATATATATATATACCCCAAAAAAAAAAAGTATAACATGAATATGGCTTGGGTCTATCCTGATCCCATTTCCTGGATGATGATGGTTAGTAAAAGGCCTTGCTTAAAAAGGATGATAATTGTTTACTGACTGTTACAGGTAATGGGACAACCCCCAAATATGGCCATATATATATGGCATGTACATTGGGTGGTGAAATCTGGTGAATTCAACATGAGGTGAATGTAGGCCTCATTGCACAAGTTCCGATCGGTCGGGATGTTCGGGCCATTGGGTGAACATTGGTGAGCCTGTTCCGGCTTTGGGGAGTGCATGTTCGAGAAAAACACACAGAACATATTTCAAGTCTAACTGGTGCCAGGTTTAGCTTAAACTGTATATATATATATATATATGCAGTATGTGTTTTGTTAATGATTTGTTTCCGGTGCTTGGTTAGACAAGGTGGGGGTTCCTTTTTACTCGCTGCTTTGGGTGAGTTTGAAGCCTGCGTCTGTTGGAAATGGTGGGCATATACATGTGGATGTGTGGCATGCGGCTTGAGGGTGGGAGTGGGATGACCGACAATTTTCACATACTGTATTTCTTTCCGACTTGACTTTATCCGTTCTTTCACTGAGTGCAAATGTTCAACATCTGGGAAAATGAACGTAGAAGGCACGAAACCAACTGCAATTTGCGGTAGGATCAAACGGTTAAGGGTTTAACCTACTGTCCTGACATGTCCTGACCATGGACTTGGGGCTTGGCACTTGTTGGTATGCTTGAGGCGAAGTGGCTCTGTTGAGCCGGTGAAAGGCCGAATGGATGGTCTGCGGGGTGGGGTGAGTTCTGGAGGTCGACTCCTCGGCATCCCAAGGAAAACGATCCAAATATGAACATACACCAGCACCACCCAAAGGTTAGATATTGGATGGAAAATTCATGGTCAGGAGATGTCTACCAACCACCCGACCACCCTTTGGTTGGTGCTTTCTACAGAAGCATGGAACAAATCCAAGATTAAAAAAGAATCCAAATGGAAACAAAATACTTGCGGCAGCACCCAAGTGCTTTGCTGTTTTGGACGTGACCTGGCAGCTGGACCGTGCAGCGGCACCAGCACCCAAGCTCCAAAGCGCACAAGTCCATAGACATCTAGCAGGCGCCCTCAACCGGCACCAGGGTTCTCCCAAAGTTACGCTAGCATAGGCTCCAGATAGCAAAAGCATGCAAAAGCTACTTGTGGGCAGCACGTCGCGCACCGACCTGCCACACAGCTCACAAACACGATAGATGGCACCGGCAAGCAAGCTCGCAAGTGCACACGGCCATCGACATCTCGCGTTACCCGGCAGCGGCACCAGAATCCCATGCTCCAAAAAGCGTGCAACCGATCAAACATCCGCCGGCCTCGCCCCCTCAGGCGTCTCCGGCTGGAGCTCCACGGTGGGGGAACCAAAGGTCGGTGCCTTCGTGACATCAGCCATGCTGCCGAGCCGGTTCACGGAAACAAAAAAGGTCACCTCTGAAGACTCCAGACCGCATTGATATTTAAGTAAACATGCCCGCAGAACATCCCAGAACTAAAGCCCACATTTGACCGATGTTTGATATTGATGTATATAGGAGAAGGCCAGATTGACTATGGACCTCCATTATGATGACCAACCACAACAAGTTGTCTTTTGATATCACAAGAAAGGCCAAAAGGGTTCAAGATGGGTTCCAGGTATATAGAACTTGGCAGTCCCCCAGAAAAGAAACAGGTCCATGGATTTGTCAATTCCATGTTGCGTCATGGAGGTGGAACATAGGCTCCTGCACCCCTGGAAGTCCTCCACAAGGGGGGTCTGCTCAGCTTCCGATGTGTGAGGCTTTCCTTCGGCTCTGGTCATTCCAGCTTTCCTTCTGGTGCTCTATTTCTCGGAGGATTGATTCTGCGGCATCCCATTGCCATGCCGTTGTTGGGGTCGTCAAGCCATATTATATATTCGCACGCGACTCAAGGCTTAGACTTGACAGATGATTTTTTAAGATATTAGGCTTGGTTATCAGCTGCGTAACTCCTAATCCTGCATTTACCGGATACCTCTCTCTCGAGCTAGTCATGCCATTGGCTCACCAGTTGGACTTGCTCATCCCAATTTGGGGAGAAATGTGTCGCCATCACCTGCTCTTGCCAAGGTAAACAATATGGACCAACCAAATCAATCGACCAAACCCTCGATTCCACACACTTCAACTTGGTGTCCACGTGTGTCCCTATCCCAAATGCCATCCCAGACTGTCCCATGTGCTGCTCCTCTAAGGCTCGACCTTGACCCTCGAGCCACATCTCTCGCCTCGCCCCAGGCAGTGCGGCACGGCGACCACACTGAGCTAGGAGTGGTGTGCTGCGATCGCCGGAGACTTTCCCCCTGGCGCGTTTGGCGCGTCTGACGCGTTCGGACGGGGTGCCTGGTGGATCGGTGGAAGTGGGATCGGTGGAGTTGAGAGATTTGGAGATCGATGTGGGGAGATCTTGGATTGGCCACATGCAACCATTGGATGGTGAGAACGATGACTGCGAATGGTTGACTGGTTCATGACCCTCTATGTTTCTAGCAAGAAGTTGGGGAACTCCCAGGCTGGCTCCTTGGCAGGCTCCCTGGTGAATGGGGAAGGACTGGAGATGCCCAGCTCACTGCCCAGCTCTCTCCGGAACAGCAACAGCCAGGTTTTCATACTAAGCATCGTTGCGGCCAAAGCAAAATCCATCGAACGCTAGACGTCAAAATAAAGCCTTCCTGCCAAGTGGGGGGTTGTTCCTTCCTCAGCTGTCCATCTTCACATCGAAACAAGTCAAGGTCTGTTGGCCCGTTGGTTTCGATTACAAAATGATACATTTGATCAGTGGCACACTTCCAGCGACCAGTCAGAAGAGTCCACTTCCCACGTTGAACAGCAAATGGAGTTTTGGATCATTGTCACGCTTCAGTTGGGTGCATCCCCTTTCCTGTAACTGTGGATGATGGTTAGAGAAGACCTTCCTCTAAAACAGTGATCATTGTTTACCGACTGCTACAGGTAAGAACGGAGACACACACACACACACAATGTTTCAACGCAAGTTGAACACCCCAACAGTCGAACCCCTTCACAAGGCTCGCATGGGATAAACACGTTGGGACCGGACAATGCATCTGCCAAAGGCGGTTTGGAGTAACCTCGACCAGGTTGAATGACCGCGGTGGAGAGCGCCACGGACACGACGAGTTCTCACACTCTTTTCCAGCCTTTCGATGCGGTCTGGACTAAGCGCCGGCCCGGACTCTGTGGCACTTACAGTACGTTTGCTGGTGACGGTGGTGGAATTCCGCACGGAAAACACATGGTGACCATCTGAATTTGCATGAAGCATCTGTCATGAAGCAAATTTATACAAACTGCATATGCACCCGTGTAGAACACATCAGCAACCGTGTAGGTCCGAATATCTGGTGCCGGTTCATCTCCCTCTATCTTTTTTTTTTCTCTCTCTCTCTCTCCCCCTACTGCTGTACAAGTTTGAGGCGAGTCATTTGCAGTTTGGGAACCTCCTCCAAGTTTCTTGTTGGATTCTTCTTGAACACCATCTACTTACACCCCTACACCAGCACGGTGCAGTTTCTGCGCCCTCAAAACCAGCAGCCAGGAAGGACCCATCGGCCCATCACCCCAGTCACATGCAATTCACCCTTCAGATATTCAAAGGAAACTACACCTGAGCTTGACGCCACTACACCTGAGTCTTAGCACCAATCTGCAGACCGGACCGGGCCGGGCACCATCGCTCATGCTGGTACCACTTCCTCGCCCATCTTCGATGCCGACGAGGCCGCGCACCGCGAGGCCGCGGACGGTCCAGCCAGTGCGGGGAGACCTTGCGGGTTCGCGGCGGGGAGTTCGCGGCATCCATCGTGTTGGTCGCGTTGATGAAGAACACCAAGTCACTTGGGGACTAAACACCACCCCTTTGTGACTGCTGGTATATATATATATGATGTTTAAACTCTCTGTAGGAGGGGATTGGTTATAAATTTACATATCTTTACCCTCCCTGAGGCGATTGAGACAATCATGCAGGCTGAGCAAAACATCCTTCTAAATTAAAGGAGCATGATCTTCCAAAGGATCATGTCGATAGAATTCCATAGATCTTCAGATGGTTTCAGTTAACATGTATATCATCTCTCCACCCTAGCCACCCAAAACACCTATATCGAAATGCTTAGTCTCCCATCCATGAAGCTGTGAAGGTCGTTTCACACCGTTGCCGCACCCTTTCCGAGTGTGCCGAGTGGCTAGTACTGCGAGGCTTCATGCATTGGTAGATGTGACCTCAATGGCTTCCATGACGCCCAGCCCGGTCCCCAAAAAGGGCTCCAGTCCCACAAAAGGGAAGGTGGGCCAGGGGTGGGTGCCACGGGGGTCCAACTGCCTTCTCAGAATGTGGTTGGAGCCCTAGGGAACATCAAAATGAAGGTGTGAAAAAAAAGAGAGCTGCCTCTTATGACCCATGCTGTCATGCATCTCGAAATCTGTGGCGAAACGCTGAGGCAAACATTGAAAGCACGCTCCCCTCTGCCCTCCGCTCCCCAAAAACCCTCCAACCTCGGAGAAGTGAGTGTCCAAGAAGGCCATCGAACGTCGTGGGGTCGTGAGTCGTGGGCCAACGTCGAACGTCGTCGTGGGGACACTCTGCAGAAGAAGGCTACTGACCTCTCCATGAGTTGCTTGGCCTGGACCACTGGAGCAACCCTCCCCCTTCAAACAAAAAGTATATCACAAACCCTGCTCTCGTGGCCATGCCGAGTCTCTTTTAAATTTCTGATCTACCCTGAGTGTCCCCAATTCAGGAACATGGACTTGACTAGAACCTTAGCACCGGGTCAAATAACTATCACCTTAAACCGCCAAGTCATTATACAGGTTCCTACAGTGGCGACGGAATAGCGACAGATTTCCAATTGGCAGGCCGCTATATAGAGTATCCAAAGTTTTGTTCAGGTTCTAGCAGTGTGCTTAGGGTGTGTGGATTGGGGAACATTGGCAAAGGTTGCAGGTGTGGTCCCTCAAAACTCCTGCTAAGCCCCCCTGCTGTACTGACCTGGCTACGGGCATCGGCGTCCGGGTACAGCATTGACGGGAATCGCTCTTCTGACGCTTCATAAGGAATGAGGGATAATGAGGGCATGGATCATAAGGTATCTGTATTGAGGGGGGCCAATTGGGCCAATCCCTAATTCACCAAGCACCAGGCACTCTTGGCAACACAAAGTGACGAGTGATGGTCACTGTGTGGTGGAGAGCTCTGAAGACAGCTCGAGTATAGATATATTTACGCTGTGAAATGCATTGCAACACTCATTGCAACATATTTTAGCTTCCCAAGGCTCTACAATTGATGGAAGAATGCCTACACCACCTAGTGATGAAATCTCTAGGTGAAGCACAGGCGCACAACCATTCGCTTCCCCAATCGTTGTGAAATCTGGTGAACCTCGCCATTAGTGCAGGGAAAGTTCATCAACGCAGCCGATCCCCTGAGCATCCACATATATACCTCAAGAAGGCACATCAATGGGCCTTCGCCCCTCGCCTACATCAATGGGCTCCCTGCTCACCTTCTGAAATAGAAGGTAAATATGTGGATCTACCAGGACCCACTGTCGGGGTGGTGAATGGACACCCCGAAAAACCTGTAAGGAGCTATCAATAGAAACCCCTTTAGGGTGACCTGGTAGGTAGATCCATGGACGCTGCGCGCCTGCTGCCCAACATCTGGTGCCCTTCTTGACCGCTTTCTCCTGGCGACGAAAAACGCTGTTGGTCGAACGTGGCACATGACTTCAGGCGACGACAGTAGCCATGGCCATAGCCATTGAACACCGCACAAAGATAGGAAATATTGCCAAAGCTGGAGGGGGTATGGGGCTCTCAAAGAATTGCAGTTCCAATTCGCCAGATTGAAAGAGGTTCCGAAGCGACAGTACTACGGATTGAAGGAATTGATGGTGGCGAATTGTGCTCTCCTCACTGATGACCATGGATGATCACAGGCTGGGTCAACGCCACTTGGTTGCATGAAAAAGGATTACAAGCATACCCTTGACCTCAGGAATGGTGAAGAAACCCTGCAAGTTGAAGTGACACCGGCTAGGATCAGCTAGGCCGCTCCCTTGTCCTACTTCTTAAGATCACTCTTCGACTCTTCGGGAGAAATCGCTACTACACTCCCTGGAACTAACATGGTTACGTGGAGAATGACCCCGTAAGGAAGTCCATGAAATCCACTACAAACAGGTGGTTTTCCACTTCCATATTAGTTCTAGGGAGTGTATACTCCTGAAAATCGCCCTGTTTTCGCCCCCACCTTCGGATCGCCAAAACCACCGCCCTTGGATTTGATGAAAGAGCCGCAAACATATGAAACACCTCTTCCCATGCTGTTGGGGATTTGCTCCAGTTGACAATCAACAGTCAACATCATCAACATCCTTCTTTCCTGCTCCGCTCTTCCTGCCTTCCTTTCTGCTTTGCACAGACAGCTCCAAACCCTCCCACCCGCTCCACCAGCACGCGCTCGCGCTCTGCAAGCCGAGGATCGATGATCTTGGTCTTTTCTCTCCCAAGATCATCACCGTAGCGTCTCACCGGGTACATTCCAGGGCCTGCTTCGCAGGGGAAGAAGCGCCAGCACGCTGGACGGGATGGTGAAGGCATTTGAGAACCCGAGTGTCAGGCACTACATAGGAACATGTCCCACATACTTGCAACAACCATGCGAAGCTTTCGGCTTGAAAATCGTTGACATCAGTTCCAACTGCCCCAGTGCAATACACTCCCCAGCGTGTCACTGGTCAGCGCCAGGAGTGAAGTTCACTTCAGCATGAGTTGTTACAAGGCCTCGCGCATCCCAAACACACATAACCGATCCACATGCCGTCTGAGAAGGTGAGCAGGGAGACTTACCTATATATAGTATATATATATATATTTATGTAGACGAAGTGAGGGTTTAGTCGTACCTTCTGAGGAGATATGTGGACCCTATAGAGAACACACGCTAGTCCCTATGGATCCGCTGCCACCTAGTCAGAAGGTACGACTGGGCCCTCACGAAGCTTACAAAATATATAGTCTCCCTGCTCACCTTCTCAGAAGGATGTATGTCGATCCATATCAGTGATATAGATGCCTCCCGAGCCGGACATCCATGGAACATAAACGCTGAAGCGACCGAAGGCCCACCTGTTCTTGTTGAGTGGGGTGTCCCCAATTTCCTCCAACAAGTGGCGACCCTGCAAATGATCCACGTTCTTCTTGGGTAGGTATAAGCATGTATAAGCTATGGATTCCCTCAGAGTTCGCCCGAAGAACAAGTCTGATGCCGCCC